TGTAGCGACACTACTTGTTTGGGGAGCGCTTTGAGTTATACACAGATCACAATTATTTTTTGTATGACCTTAGTATTTTAATAATTTGGCATGGTTTGTAACTTTACATTATTTAAGTTATTTTAACTATTTATTGTTACTTTAATGTTGGAGGTATTGATTCGTTATGAAATTATGGTGGATGGTTTGGTTGGCGTTTTATTAATTTTTTTTTTTTTTTTTTTTTTTTTGTAATCTTTTAACAAACAACTAGTGAGAAATTTATCAGTAAATGCGTTTATCACTGCGAAATTTATTACTGAATATGTCTTTGAATCTTGTGTTAATTTGTAATGATGATGATGAGAATTTCTTTTTGCAATTTTTTAACAAACAGTCAGTGATAAATTTATCATTTTTGTCACTAGAGAGAGATGAATATGTATTACGATTAATCTATCAGTAATAAATTTATCATTGATTTGTTCAATATGTTGTATATTGTTGCTGAATTTATCACTGATTTGTCATTGTAGATGTGAATATGTTGGATGGGTCAATCTATCAGTGATAAATTTATCACTAGAAAGAGAACAAAGAGCAGATGGTAAAGGTATGGTTATGTTGATCTACAATACAAAGGCTAACAATTTTCTACTAAGGCCTTTCTTTTTCCATTTCCTCTCTCTCTCTCTCTCTCTCTCTCTCTCTCTCTATCATTATTCTTCTTTTTCTACTTTTTTTTTTCTTTTTCTTCTCCTGTCGTCATCAGATCTTAGGAGATAGTGACAGTAGTGAGCGCCGAAGGTTGCCGGAAGTGATCATCAGAGGTTGCCGGAGGTTATCACTGATGGTTGAAGACAAGGTACTAAATGGATCTCATAGCACAGATGTTTTAACTTATTGTGCTAAGTACTAACTTTGTCTTTTTGATGATCTAGTTCAATTTCCTCGAAAATCGCATTTGCAGTTGGCATGATCTGCTGTGAAGAAGAAGGCCATTTGAAGGAGAAGCCTGTCTTGCTGCAAAGCAGGCAAAGACTATTGGTCTTGTCCTTTAGTTTCCCCCTAGGCGTTCATCAGGAATGTTGTGTTGCGTCCTGCATTAATTGTGTAAGCTAATTCGTTATTGTGTAAGCTAAAAAGTCCTTTTATTAGACAATGTGCTCAAGATGTTGTCAAGGGAACTACTGTCTACTGCTTTCCCCAGTTGGGCATATGGCACTTGATTTTGGCCAATGCTTTGCCTCAATATACCTAGTTCCTTGGTAGCTTAACTTTACTAAACTTTCATGATCGGAATTACCAATTAGATAAATCTTAAGATGGGATATGAATTTCATTTGGATGGTACATGTTGAACACCTTTAGGTGTGGCATTTACTTCTTATCCTTTGATGCTATTAGTTATCTCTACACCTTTGCTGTTTAAATATGGTTATTAGTTCTCTGACAGTGTTGAGCATTCTGGAGGGCAACGGGTGCGTCTTGACTTACAAAAATTGAGCCAATTTTCAATTTTTCCTGGTCAAGTAAGAAATAGGAACTCGACTGCCATTTCAATATTCCTTTTAAAAATTATAACATAATGCCAAATGATTGCATTTTTGCAGGTTGTGGGTGTTGAAGGGCACAATCCTAGTGGACATTGTCTGACAGCATTATGTTAAAAATTATAACATAATGCCAAATGATTACTATTTAATGCCAATATATCATAACCGCACTTTAAGAGCGCTTCTTCCTTCTATAGCTCCAGAACGAAGTCTGCAGTGCAAATAATAGAATTGAATCAGACTAATAACCAAAATAGTTGCACAACTCGAATAATTAAATCCATAATACATGAGGCCAGTTAGAAGGAGATCATTATATCTGACAAAACCCATAAACTAGGTCTTTCCTTTGTCCTTATCAAGAATAGAAGTTGAAGGATGTACAACTTCATCAGTCCAAAAGTGATAGTGTAAATGCCAACTTCTGTGGGCTCAGAATTTAGTTTCTATAATCAAATTATAATCACCATGAAGTCTGGAGCATAAAATAGATTTTGGGAAAGGTAGCTATATGTGTACTTACAGTCTGCATCTGTATTGATCCAGTTTTTGCTGTTCCCATTTGAATTGCTTCCACTGATTGTGAGTTGTGATGGGTTTGAGTGTCTCTTGAAGCATCGTATGCTCTCTTTTGAAAGGGCTGTATGGGGAAATATTATGATATCTTCCCCTGGGTGCGTATAATCTCCGTCATAGTACCCCTCCTCATAGGTGATGTTCTTCGGTTCATTCTTGTGGGGCTTATCTGATTTCCATGCAGAAGTTGAGTTTTCAGGATAGACTTTCTTGTGGAACATGTGGAGGATCTGCATGCAGCAAATTGTAAAATTAAAAAACTGAACGCAGAATTCAAAGTATGTTTAGGAATTTGAGTTTACATATAATTATGCATAAAACTCTTATGTTATGTATGAAATTCTATATGTCACATTGTAAGTACTATTTTACCCTGAAAATAAAAGGAGGATATTAAAAATTAGCAATACTTTGCCATGCTCTCATGTCCTTGGACATGGGAATTAGACAAATATGAAGCTTAAGCACATGCTCAAAAGCCAACAACTGTACCTGAGTTCTTGTAATATAGCATTTTGAGTACCTTAATACTAATAGTGTGATCAAAACAAGTCAACCAGTATCGTACTGAGCATGTTAGATACCGCATTTCTATTTCTCGTGTCAGAACAATTCATGTTCCTAGTACCGTAGGATTAGAGATATTCAGTTATAAGCACATATTAGGACTTGAAGTGTATCCAGAGAAATGGAGGAACCATCTTGCAATGTTAATGATTGGATGGTGCAAATCATCTGATTGGTTTGATCACACTACACAGTATGTTCTTTGTAAGCAAATCACAGATGATGTTGCAATGATCCCAACAAAACTATGTCAGGAGTTGTAGTGCTCCATATATCCCATCTAGAAGATCTATCATTCAGTACTAGAAGTAGACATACCTTATGCAGTTTCGTCTCCATTGAAGCAGAGATAACATTTCCCCCAGTCATTGTGGTGGAGGTCCGAGAGGAATCATGGACCATTCTTTTCTTCAGTATCCTTTTCACGAGACGTATAGCAGATTTATTTGTTTCCTTGTCTGCCTTCTTTTCTCCGCTCTCGCATTTAGCGACAGAATTTTCCTCTGTCATTTTTGTCCTCTGAAACAGCTCCCCAAGTGATGTTCTATGTTCCTTCTTTGTTTCTGGCAACTCAATTGCTGACCCAAGCAGATAGCCCTGGAGTGGACACATTGTTGTTCTGTTCCCACTGGTCTCTGTGCCTTCCAATGTCTTGCCACTCAGTGTAATGGTGCTAACATGACTGTTTCTCCCAGATGAGTCATTGCAACCATCTTCTTTACCTTCAACTCCTAGCACCTTCTGCAACTCATCATTAATCAGCTTCAAATCAGGCTCTGTTACTTCTGTTTCTTTTTCAGTTATGTTCTCAACAGAGATGGCGAATGTTGGTGTTGATGATGGGTCAGCGATGACTGTGTCTGAACCAAGAGTACCAATGGTAAGGAAGCCATGGAAGAGCTGAGAAATCGCAACCGATGACTCTTCTTCAAAGTCATCTTCTTCTATGGCAAATGATTTTCGAAGATGGTTATATCTCTGTGATTTGCCTAAGGTCTTAGTACCATAGTTTGCCTTCATGTCGTACTACTGCTCATCTAGTGATGGCTTCTCTAAAAGACAATTGGAAGAATTCCATGACTGAAGAAATGTTAAATAATTGGGATAAAGGTGAAGATGACTACCATTGGCATAAATATGATTAGGCGTGCACATGGGTTGCTTTGGTTCTAGTTAGCCTTAAACTCAGAACCAAACCAATCATGATGAGTCCCAGGTTTTTGGGTGCAGGACAGAACCAATCATGCACTGGAACCAAAACCAAACCAAGCCAACCCGATTTAGCATCGGGTTTGTTTGGGTTGGAACCGTAGTTCCACTATACTAAAATAAGTGAATCAATCAGCAATAAATGATTAGAATAAACAAATCTTAAACATTTTAACGTAACACAGACATAGAGCAACAAAGTACTGTTTTAAAATTTAATATTGTTTACAAAATATTGTTCGGAGACGATTGCCAAGAATAGAGAAATCACCCGCAGCGGCTCAGCTTGTAGTGGTGTAGTGGATGAAGGTAGGAAATGAAAGATTAGATTAGACACTACTTTTCTCTTATTTATGAAATGATCAGGTGCAATCAAGTCCACCTTAGTATTTGCAATAGACCAATTACATAAAGACATGTCAACAACATTAGAATTTTATGCAATATATATAGATTCGGATCTTGGATTGTTTCAGTTTCAGCGTGGCTGAAGCAGCGCCCGAACCCATTCATGTCGGGTTGATGATTTTAAGACCTAGAGCCGAACCAATATATTGAAAAAGCCGAACCAACTCAACTCATAGAGGTCGGATTAGAAACATGACTTACCCCAATGGAAAAATCCTTGAGTGCTTCACTAGGCCTTAACTTGCGATGCATCCAACCAAGTAACTGCAATCAAGATATGCAAATATGAAGTCATAAAATACTGGAAATAGTTTTTGTCTTCCAAAGTTCAACAGAAATTGGGGTTACCTTCATTTTTGTGATCTTTCTTCAAAGAACTTGATTTAGATTACTCTGGCAGTGAGGAGGAAGTGAGAGAAGGTGCTCTTTTCAGAATGTGTGGTGTGACTATTTGATATGTGTCTTGGAAGCCTCTAAAAGTGCCTGAGATTGAGGCAGGTAGAGAGAAACATAGAGAAAGTTACAAGATTTGGGTTGGCTATTTTGTGTAGACCAAATCATGTGGCCAATGGGGAGTGGGTTCAAGACCCCACAAGCTGAAGATTCTATCTGCCAGTGCACTTGCATTAATTCTTATAGTTATGCCATTGGCCTTCCCAATGTGAGATGTTTATGCACATGCATTTCTGCATGGCATTACAATGGAATTTCCATTCTCAGTATTCTAATCAGAACTACTCACATGAGCAGATGGAGTCTAGAGAATATTTTGTTGGACCCTAATCAATTCAAAGATAATATGACAAAGAAGAAGATCTTTTTTCCATTAGGGACCCAAAAAGTTCAATCCTAGTGCTTTATGGTAGGTCCACCTTTCAGAGGAAAGTTCTAACTAAAAGGAACCTCATCTCTTTTTCTTTTTTCTTTTATTTTTTTCCCTTTAATTTTTAGTGTTAAAAACACAGTGTTGCATTTGTGTTAGTCTTTAGTTCTTCACACAGATTTCTTTATCTTTGCAGCTAAACTATGACAGCAACAATACTTTTGCACGTGTTTCTATTTGCAACCAACTTATGTATTATTGGGTTTTTCACAGTCCATGCTCTCATTGGATTTGGTGATATTTTAGGTTTGACCAACTCTGACATCTTAACTGAACACTTTAAGCTATGTTGCATTCTGTGGTGCTTTCATTACAATATATTAGCTGAACGTAGCAACCCAACTCCAATAAGCAATAACGTCGTTTTCTGCTCATGATTGGTGAAAATATGTTATTAGGCATTACCATCAATGTTTAGTATTGCCACTTAACTACCATATGTTTTCTTTTGGCTTGGATCGATGACCTTGCCACATGTGATCAGGTCATCTTCTTTCATTGCTTGTCAGTCATATTGTCATGAATGTAAGCTTTTTCATAAAAGAGGACCCTTCAGGTACAGGTTTATTGCATTTTAAGGAATTGGGTGCACCCCACAAACAACTTTATTGTTGTGGGTGTGTCTCGAATTCGACCTGGATGATGCTTATAACTAGTTGATGACTTGCATGGATTATTAATGATAGGACCGACCCAATATTTGTATTTGGATCTATTTTGACTTGGTTTGCTATTTTCAAATCCTTGTATATATTAGGTTATTTCAGGGTTCTAGGATTTGTGATGATCTTGTGAGTTTTCAATAGAGGGCTGAGAGAGAGAGAGAGAGAGAGAGAGCGAGCTGGCTCATTGTAATCTCCACGGTCATAGTTAAATTCTGCCATCATTCTATGCCCTTGGACGTAGGTTTATTCCTGAACCCTGTAAATCCTCATGTGCTTGTGTATTGGGTTTGCTTTAGTTTTTCTCATCTTTGCCTTTGCCATAACATCTACATATAAGAGTAGCTGAGGAAATATGCATTCACATTTTTTTACTTAAATCTATTTTGTAAGCTCTCTAAAATCTAAACCCAGTACTTTTCAGTGTTCTGAATTTTTTGATATTGAGGCCCCATTTGGGGACCATGGTTTTTAGCCAAAAAACTACTACAAGTTGTTACATCAGTCTCTTTACTTTTCTGTACATATTTTCGTAAAAGTCAAAAATTCAAATAAAATAGCAAATTCCCAAACGGGGCCTGAATAGCTCCCAAATCCAAAATTTGACCTGTGGATGTGAATGAGCTGTTACTTGCCTCTTGACCTATAAAGACAACTCTTTCATGCTTTGACATTGTAAAAAAAGCGAGACCTAGTGCACGAGGCTCCCGCTAAAGCGGGGTCTGGGAAGGGCAAAATATAGACAACTTTACTCCTATTTCTAGAGAGGTTGTTTCCATGATTTGAACCTGCACTACCTAACAGCAAGCCATGCCATTGTACCAAGCTGCCTTTTAAAAGTTACACCAGTATAGCCTCCATTAGATGAAGGTCTTGGAGAGAAAGATTGGGTACAGACCTAACCTTGTGGTATTATTTGCATAAAGTGGTTGTTCTTAGGTTCGGACTCACAACCTTTGGTTCCACTAAATAATGTCCGTTTACAATCTCGACTATCTTATTGCAAGTAGGGCCACGTTTGTTTGCTGGGATAAGGAGGTGGATTCAACTGCTCCCTCGTCTTCTCCTCTTGTTCCCCAATCCCTTCCAATCCCTTGTTTGGTTGGCTTGGCCAAAGTAGGGTGAATTAGTAGTCATACTGGATTAATTTTCCTCCAAAATGAGGGATAACTAATCCCACTTCAGCTTGGGATAAATGATCCCTACTACCTATGGAATATCTGCCAACCTCCATCTAATAGCCAAAAAAATATACTTGCCCAAAAAAAAAAAAAAGCCAAAAAAAAAATTTCAAACCTTACTTCCTCCTTTATCCTACCCTAATCAGTATAGTACAGTAATCCCATGATATATATTAATCCTATGGTGTATTCATTTGCCATCATCCCCTCTAATCCCATGCCATGAAACAAATGTGGCCTAAAATTAACAAACATAATTGATGATGCCATGACAAGGACAATAATTAGTGCCAAATAATTGATTGGTCATTGGATATGGTTAATTTTATCTCCACCAGTAGGAAATTTTATTTTTCTGGTTGATTAGGTAACCGTAAACATCATCTTTTTTAAAATTGTTTCTATTGATTAATGTCCCTTTAACAATCTATTTTATGGAATAAAGACACAAATTTCTTTTATTGATGCTATAATTGGTATCATGTTCACTATCTCCACACCACTAGGAAATCTCATGTTCCTTGTTCATTAAAAATAATCCCATAATAACAATAGGTAGATCTAAACAAGTTGACACATCCTTTGATACTCCATACATACTAAAGATAATAACGGGTATTGTTTCTCGTAGGAGAACATATTAAATCAGGCTTTGGAAAAAGCCTAGATTAAGTATTCGTAGTACTTATGTCATTATGAATATTTATCTAGTAGCATTGAAGGCGAACTAGTGGTTGGTGGACTTAGGAGAGAAGACAGAAGAAAATAGTAAAAAGAAGATTTGAGGAAAGCATGCATAGGTGTCTTTCAGGAAGCATAGCATATTAATTTATGAATCAAAAGGTTCACATAAATGGGTTAGATTGGAATGGGTGTTGATTAAGCCTTTCCAAAGCTAATGGACCAAGTTACTGTTAACTGAGCTGGAAAAAATCTTGATAGTTATCCTACTAGGCAATTTATATGTAGTTCCAAATGTTACACGGTCTTGAATAGAACTCAACCTCCAAAGCTAGCTTTAGAGGTGAGGGTGCCCTCACGCTTATATGCTTAACATTATTCGTTTGTTTTTTTTTTTTTTTCTTTCTTTCTTCCTTGCATATGCTTGTGTACAACTAACAAAAAAGAAAAAGGAATGTTAGATAGGGTAAAAGGGGTAATGCTAGGCAATAAGCTGATCCTTGATTTTTTCGGCCCATTATCAAGGTGTTTCTTTGAAGTGTATAATAATAATAATAATAATAATAATAATAATAATAATAATAATAAATAATAATAATAATAATAATATAACAACAACAAACCCATTTCAGAATGAACAGTAAATGCACAAAACCCATTTCAGAACCGGTAGGTCCTAAGTTAATTCCTCTACAATGAAAAAATCACTGCTGAGATTAACATTCTTAACTCCTGGTTTGGGGGACAATCAATCAATATGGACAAACCCATTTCAAAAAAA